AAAAGTATAGCCTGTTTATTGGAAAGTACCCTTGTACCAGTCAGTAAGCGAATTGATACCAAAGCTAAACACCATCAGTTAAGACTGAAAACCTGTGAATGAAGGCTAAAACCATGAATGAAGGATAGAAAGCATGATAGTAATAAAAGGTGATTTCGATATACATGCATCGTTTCACTTTGCCTTGTTGTGATGATTCGGGCCTACCGGATGACGCGTACCATGGAGCAACGGGTTACAGTTTTAGGACAAATGTGATCAATCAAACTTCACGGGTGACGTCAACGACGCGCGTACGTGTCACTGCTTCTGACTATATACCGTAGGTAGATTGTACCAGCCAATCGGAAACCGTGCGGCCCAGACAGAAGCAGAATGACGCAAGAAATACTGGAACGCGATTGGTAGAAGCCCGGATAACCAATGAACTTACTTTGTACATATTATTTAATCCCCATTATTTCTTCCAATAAATGAACTACTACTGCTGAGGCCTTTTCCTCGCGTCTCAGTTACGTGGGATACTGCGTGTTAGTGCCAGTGCGATCCACTGCTTACGTGATCTAGTCCGTTACTGCTAATCCTTGATTCGTGTCGCAGGATTCGTATTACGTGGTTCGTATTCCGAGTTCAGTGAGTGCTGCTACGATTACCACAACCACTACACTTGTCCCTCTCACCCGTGACTCTCTGTGTGATCTAATTGCTTCATTTTCCGTGATTTGCGATACTTGGAATCCCCCAACCCGACACGAGACTGCCTGATTACCAGCTTGTACTTTTTGTAATGCTTTTGTTGTCACGTGCATTCCATCCTTGTGATGATGGCACGCCCGCTGTACAGCTCACCGAGGCTGCTAAACGCTCTCAGCCGTAGACAAGATGTGTTTTCTGTGGTGATCGTGGAACGAGTACTCACGCATGACGATACAGCGTCCAGGTAACGAAGAGCCAGATTTGCAGACCAATCCTGCGGTCTCAAGTGGCACTAACCGGATTGATTGAATGCAGGAACGCAAAACTCTTCTTGATATTTTCCCAACCGACTGTTTTCGTGTTGGACGATCTTGCTAACTACGTCGGAGATGGAATTCCGGAGGAGGAGAGAACAAATATTATGGAAAAATGCATATTTATTTCATGAAAATTGTTCAATATATTTTCATCCTGCTGCTTGCATAGCAAAATACGGCGAACATAGTTGTCTTCTACCTTCAGCATAGCAGCAATGAGAATACTTTCGTACTGCGCGACGATACTGTTTTAGCTCCTCAATCGTTGTCGGTTTTCGGGAATAAACTGTTCGCTTTAGATATCCGCAGGATCATCTACCCGCAACCGACAGTCCACGAAAGGTTTCAAGAACTGTTGCTGCATGTAGGATTGTGTAAGTCCGTTCGAAAAATTTACGTATATACAACAGAAAAGGTGCACACTCCAAACGGAATTGCGAATGCTTTGCAAATAGTGAACTGCGGAAAACACTGTCGATCAAACGGGGACAAGAGAGAATCTGGCAGCCATCGGGGTTCTGCACGCTCTGGAAAGAAGCCGCCACTCGGTTCGCTGAGAACGGTTGCTAATGACAAGCAGCAGATAGGATGAAAGCGGCCGCTACTGTTACTGTTCTGACTTTGGCGATATATTTGTCGGTTTATGGTTGATAAATGGAGGAAGAGCAAAGGACTTCTAACTGACAACGTGTGGAGAGCTGAAGTTGTCATATTCATCGATCGTATTTGCTGGTCAAAAGCTTTTAGAAACGATAGTTTTACTACACACCTGTATGTGATGAACACCAGGCGGTTTGAACCTGCTATTTGATCAGGGCATCAAGTCAATCAAGTCCCGGGATTCGGGGTGGTCAACCGCATAAGCCGGGCGACAGTGAAACTGAGTAACGCTAAAGATTAGTCGAGGCGGCGGAGTTCGAGACTAATTTCCAACACAAAGGCCCGCAGCGCGGTGGCGATAGTGACTTGAACCGCTTGATCGCCATCATGTTATCGACACAGCTTCCGAATGAAAATGTCAACAAGCGAAACACTGTAGCATGCAGTTTTGGCAAATACATCAACTGACCTACAGCGAAACATATTATTACATCAGTAAGCTAGTGCAAAAGTTCTGCCCACATCTCGGCAATCACAACAAACGGTACGCTCCGACATTTCAGATAAAATTATTTCCACCGTTCCCTCCCTGTTAAGATCGAATTCCAACCGCGACGCTATGCACAGTATTTTTAGGGGCCCGTAAACCAACACAAGAAATCGGAGCACAAAAGAGAGCGTACTGATCGGAACCGGGTTAAGGATTTAATTAATGATCGTGAGNTACATCAGTCGATTAAACGATGGCCTGAAACAAGTTCAAACTGGATCACGGACGAAACGGGTTGGAACGGTAGTAGTCAGTGTGCGCCATGAGAAACTGTATCACGTGATCGGACGATCAATAGGAACTGATGAACGAATGCTTACGTAGAAACCCCATCTCCGAAACCGTTACCAAATCGAATGCATCCAAAACACCCCGAAAACAAGTTACTGTATAACAAAACGTATTATGTATGCTAGTTGTATATCTGTACTTTTCAATATCAAAGGTGTTCAATATGTTTACCGGATTTCTCCAGGCAAAAAACCATTCGTTTCAAAAAGGACTCTTGGACTTGAACCAACATGCTAACTGGCCTCCACGATCAATCCACTTACCGGGGAATATCTCAGCCAGATGTTCCCGCACTATTCGGTTGTTATGCGGAGCAGAACCATCCTGCTGAAAAGAAATGCTTTCACGCAACCCCTAGAAATCCAATAGTTGCACCACTTGTTCCTCAGGGTGCTGTGCTCTCACCCTACCTATTTTCCACTTTCATCAATGACTTGCCCTCAGTTCCACCAGCTAAGACCTTCAAGTATGCTGATGATTTGGTCGTATGTCGGGCTATATCAAACGAATCGGACATAGAATCATTTAACAATTTGTTGCAAGTGCAATCATTTTCGAAGCAATCCGGTCTCCGGCTGAATACTTCTAAATGCTCTGAATGCATTTTTAGTCTTTCCCGATCAGAATACTCCCTGAAACCCTCAGTTATCAATTCCTTATCTATCACCAGAACACATACCTATGACTCACCATAGATACCAATCTATGGTGGTCCTCGTATCTGCTTGCTTGTGTTGGTAGACTGCGTCGCTTATCTTTTCAAATACGCAAGCTGCGACAATTTCGAGTGAGGCATGAAAGGGTTTGTTCCTTTGTTTATCACTGTATTTTTCCTATCATACTTTATTGTTCACCCGTTATTTTTCCTGGTCTACTTAGAAAGGATTTTATTACTCTACGTCGCGGTTTGGTAATTTTCAGCTGTGATTCTCTTATTCCGAATTTCCTACATGGCGCATCGTTCCATAACTGAGTCTCCTGTGGTGATTTTCTACCAACACTTAAGCAGCGTCGGATTCAGAACTTATCCACCTCCCATGCCAGACAGAAAATCACATGAGCGATCGG